TATCATGTTTAGAAAGGGTGGAGGAAGGGAGGGAGAAAGAGAGGGAGAGAAACATCAATGTGTGGTTGCCTCTCACGCGCCCTCTACTGGGGACCGGACCCACAACCCAGGCATGTGTCCTGACTGGGAATGGAACTGGCGACCTCTTGGATCGCAGGCCGGTGCTCAGTTTTGACTTTTACACACAAAACGTCACCACTGATGCTTTGCCTTGACAGCTACCAGGGCGGCACATGCCTGCGGTTCACAAAACCAAGCAATTTGTTGGCTCAGAACCAGCTCGTGTGAGAGGCCATGGCAGTAAATGTGTTTTCCAAAACCAAACGTCACGGGATTTCAATCTAGAGCCCAAGTACCGCACCCCCTCCCCTCTGCCTCTGCTCAGTAATGGGGCGTCTGCCGTACCCCTCTGCCTGGCTCCCTGTCAATGAGCGGGGCCCTCCACCCTCTGGGTCTCAGCAGATGGACCGGGCTGCCGGTCACGGGCATGTTCCTGGCTGTGCCAGGCTCACCCAGCTGAGCAACCCCCCTAACAGCTCTTCATGGTTTGGGGTGAGTCGAGAAAAAGGCCTGCCTGTTCGAGGTCGTTTAGAGAGGGAAGGAGCTCCGCAGAGAGGCCCCGAGTCAGCAGGTGGAGAGCAGGCTTCTCAGCCCTGGGTTCACTGAAGCTGGTTCGAGTCTCCTGCACGGCCGGCTCACAGGGGGAGATGCGGACCCCTGGACTTCCCGGTTCCCACGGACATCTCCCGTGGCCCCCCGGGATGGCTGCGGGGACTCGGACGGAGTCAGGAAAGCACCGGTCACCTGCAGCGCAGCTCCCGGGGGCACAGGTGACAGACAGGTACACACGGAAACCGCCTGAGTTTGCAGAGAATTATTTCCTCCCTCCCACGGCCCAGCAAGGAGACAGAGCAAGAGACCCCTCGGGAAGGTGGGTCCTGGGGCCCGGCCTCCTCACAGCCTCTGGGAAACGGCTTCTCCTCGCGAGAGGACCGTGTGGCAGCATCTCGCTGCCCCTGAGATGCGCAACTCAGAGAGCCGACCACAACTGGCCTTTTTCAAAGGGAAGAGAAAGCCCTTCGCTCGCACCGGCAGGAGAAGGGCCAGGCTGCAGCGTCGGGTTTTAATCCGAAACCCCCAGGAAGCTCTCAGCCTGGGCTCTGTGCTGGCTGCCCACCCTCCGCTCACACCCCTTGGGCGCTGCACTTCCTCCGCCTCTGGGCAAAACTTGCAGGAGGAAGCCCGGGCCACCGAGAGGTGCGTGGAGACCAAGGAAGGCGGGACCTTTGCAGGCAGAAGGAAAGAGCTTTTATCCAGCCGGGCCACTGCAGTGTCCGTCCCAGGATGGAGCCCCAGAGGAGCTAGAAGGGACCAGACCAGAGGACGGCAGGGAGCTCATGCACCCGGGAGGAGGAGAAAAGGACAGGTGTACCCTGAGGTTCCAGGGACCGGCCTGCAGTCAAGGACGGGCAGGTGTGCGTCAGCGGCAGAGAACCTGTGGGTCAGGGGGGTCCTGTGCGCCTGGAGGCGGGAGTCTGGAGGGAATTTTGTTTGAAGCTCTTTAAAAAAAGATTTTGTTTAGTTATTCTTAGAGCGAGGGGAAGGGAGGGAGAAAGAGAGGGAGAGAAACATCAGTATGTGGTTGCCTCTCACACGCTCCACTACTGGGCACCTGGCCTGCAACCCAGGAATGTGCCCCAACTGGGAATCGAACCAGCAGCTTTTTGGTTCACAGGCTGGCACTTAGTCCACTTGAACCACACCAGCCAGGACTGAAGCTTTTATTATTTATATTTGTCATTGGGACTGTGAGGCCGTGTACATGGCCAGCCTAGGCCACTGATGAGGTCGGGCAGCTGAGACACCCTTTCCTGTCTTGGGTACCCGTGTAGGTTTACAGGTGAAAGGACATCAACTCGGGAGAAATAATCCTCCCGGCACCGACTGGCTTACCCCGATGGCCCAGGGCCCGGAGCCCTGGTCCCTGAGGGGTGGGCAGGTGCAGACAGCCTGGCTGTTTCTAGACTGGTGTTTGGAGGGTCTGGGTCCTTTTGATGAGGTGTCTCTGTGCTGAACGCCAACGGCACAGCCACAACATAGATGGCTCAGAGCAGTCCCAGTTCAGTACGTGGAGGAAAGATGTGTGAGAGGTTTGTCGATGTTGTTTGAATAAATGTGTCTTTCCCAGCCTTTGGGGAAGCTACTCATTTCCTTAGCAGGAAACACACACACCTCCCCACCCCCAGCCATCCCCTCCCCCGGGCCGGGACCCACAGGAGTGAACATGGCGTCCAGGAAAGGCTTCACAAGAGAACGTTCGGAGCAGCGGCCGCCCTTGCCGCCCAGACCCGGCACCACTCCAGGTGTCCATCGGCAGGTAAAACAGGCTGCAGTCGCCACACTTGGAGCACACTCGGCCCCACACGGGACAGGCCACTGGGGTCGCAAGGACAGGGCAGTCCTCAAGTCAGCGTGCTGAGTGGAGCCAGGCAGACAAGCGCCGTTAGGGTCTAGCCGGGCAGTGCTTCCCGTAGGGGCAGAGAGCCGAGCACCTGTCACTTCTGCCTCGGGCGTGGAGGGCCACTGAGTCACCCAGACCTGTGCATCTGCCCCAAGGCAGGGAACTGCACACATACCACCTGGGCACCCACTGGGTGTGAACACCCACAATTTCACTGTGTGGGCATTACACCCCATTCGGAAGGCACTGAAGGTAATATAACCACACTACACAGCTCAGGAACGGCTGAGGCAAAAGTTACTCAAATTATTCGGACCCTGAGGCAACACTGTTTAACACCCTAACAAACACTCCCCGGCAGTCTCTCCCCCTCGGCATCTGCGGGAGGGCCGTCTGCTGCCCTGCTGCTCCTGGGAGGCGGCGCGAGCCTCCTTCCTCCATCTGATGAATGCGCACTTCCTGCGGTCGGGCTTTCTGAGGCTGACGATCCCGATCAGCACGTGCTTTGCCTGAGCGCAGGGCCAGTGTCCCCGTGCCCCCACCCTGGGCAGGCAGGTCTGCTGGGGTGTCCCCTCCTGGGACCGCTGTCCCACCGGAGGGCAGGAACCTGGTCAGATCTACTCAGTGCCACCCCCAGGGCCTTATGCAGAGCTTGACACTAGGGGGCTGAATTCTGTCCCCTTAAAATTCATTCTGAGCCCTGGCTGGTGTGACTCAGTGGATTGAGTGCCTGCCTGAGAACCACAGGTTGTCGGTTCAATTCCCAGTCAGAGCACATGCCTGGGTTGGGGGCCAGGCCCCTGGTGGGGGGTGTGCAAGAGGCAACCGCACACACATCGATGTTTCTCTCTTTCTCCCTCCCTTCCCCTCTCTCTAAAAATAAATAAACAAAATCTTTAAAAAAATTCACGTTGAAGTCCCAACTCCCAGTTCCTCCAACTGTGACCATGTGTGGAGGTAGTCTTTAAGGAGGTAGGTCAGTTTCCCCCCAGCTTTATTCATAGATATGTCTGATACAGCATTTAACTGACATATAAAGCAACTTAACTGTGAATTCGGTGTGATGACTTGCTGCTGCAAAGTTACCACAGTAACGTTAGTGAGCTCACCCTTCGCCTTGTTTAATCACCATTTTGTTGTCGCTGTTATGATGACAACACTTAAGATCTACTCTCACAGCAACTTCCAAGTACACAATAAGTATTGTTAACGGTCGTCAGTGTCACTGGCGGAGCGGTTCTTGCCGCCCCGCCACCCCCCCCATAGAAATCAGGAGTGGGGGAGACAAAACGGTTCCAAAGAAGAGGCTCGCTGAAAACAAGGAGGAGGGAAGGAGAGAGGGAGAGAGCTGGATGTGCCTGGGAGCGCACACCCACGAAAAGCGGGGCTCCCTGCACCGCCGCTGGCATCCGGCTTTTTGGGGGCTGGGCTCTTCACGCAGGCGCAGAGCGGAGCGCTTTGGGGAAGAAAAACTCCAGCACTTGATTAATAATAATAAAAACTTCGATTATTAAAAAAATAATCGAAGAGCGTTCCCATCCATTTAGAGCATTTCGGCCCCTATCAGACGGACCTCGCCCATCGGTACTGAAGTGTGTGCTCCTCGCCCAACAGCTCCCTTCCCTCCCCCCAGCCCCTGCTGAGCGCCTTTCACCCTCGGCTTCTGTAATTCCACGATTCCAGATGCCACATGCAAGTTCACACCATATTTGTCTTTCTGCGTCTTACTTCCTTTAGCATAATACCCTCCAGGTCCATCAATGTTGTTGCAAAGGGCAGAATGTCCTTTTCAAGGCTGAGTAATACTCCATTGCACGTAGGTGTGCACCACCTCTCCGCCACCCACCCACCCCTCTGTGGGATACCTGGGTGCCTCCCACGCCTTGGCTGCTGTGGATGACACTGCAGCGAACCTAGGGGTGCAGGCACCTCCTGGAGAAAGTGATTTCATTTCCTTCCCATGCCTGGGAGTGGGGTCGCTGGGGCACATGGCCGTTCTATTTTAATTTATTCGAAGAACCAGGTGGTTAAGTTTTAAAATGGTCCCATGGGTTGGGTTCTGAGCCAGGCTGATTGGTGACCTTGTAAGAAGAGATTGATTGGCACATGGGATGGCCCTCCACATGCTCACGAGAGAGGCCTCGGAGGAACCAGCCCTGCGACACCTGCTCTGGGACCTCAGGCTCCTGGACGAGGGGCAGTGTCCAGTGTGAGTCCCGCAAGCCAGGTCGTGGTGTTAGGGCCACCGGAACAAAGGGGTACAGCAATGGGCCCCGGACGATATGTCTTCCTTCAAGTGAGACTAAAATGCGGGACCTGCAGACATGCTTTTTCTTTCTTGAACTTATTGGAGTGACGCTGGGTAGTAAGTCTCTGCAAGTTCCAGGTCGTCGGCACTTTAACACGCCGTAATACAATACACTAACCAATACCGCCACTGCGCGCCTGGGGAAGAGACACCCCCACCCCGCCCACGGACGTGACGTCAGCGCTCGTCACCGGAAATGCGTGTGCGGAGGAGCCGGAAAAAGCTGGCGCAGCCGAGCCCGGGGCAGCAGCTGTGGGGAGGCACCTTCCGGCAACGGGGGACCCGAGCGCGGTGAGCCCGTGAGCGCCTCGCGGCTCCGCCACAACAGTCGCGCCTGCGTCGCGGGGTGGGACGTGACGTCAGGCTCGCTCCAGGGACGCTCCTGCGGCGTGCCCAAGCCACTCTGCATTTCGGTGAAGCTGGGGATTCGGACAAAGTAGAAATGAGGAAAAAGGAAATCATCCTCTAACTCGAGTGACTTAAACGGAAATACAAGCAGTTTTGACAGTTGTTTACCGACTACAAGGAAAAGAGCAGAGGCACTGCCTCTCTCGCCTCCGAGGTCGCCTCTGGCCTATCACGCGCCGCGCCTAGCGCGGTTCCCGCCCCCAAAGTCCCCTCCGGCCTATCTCGAAGTGTGCCCCACGCAGGGCCCGCCCCCGTCCGGAGTGTTGCCCTCAGTCGGCCTATCCTACCCCGTGTGCGCAGGACACCGCCCTCTCGCAGCCCTGGCGCGCCCACACGACCCCTGGCATTTTCCCGCGCTGCGTGCGAGCACCGCCCCCGATATCTCTCCTGGCCTATCCTGCGCCTTGCTGTGCACGAACCCCGCCTCTGCCCTCGCCCTCGGCCTATCCCGCGCGGCGCTGAATACGAGCCCTGCCCCCTTCCTGCGCGGGGGTTGGCGCTCGTCTGAGACGTCATTAGCGCGGCGAGGCGCGGACGCGGAGTTTCCCGGGGCCCGCGGCTATGCCCAAGCGGGCCAGCCCCTTCGGGGACGCGGCCCCGCTGCAGCTGAAGGTTCGCGTGGGCTGGAAGGAGCTGGGGCGCGGCGTGTGCGCCGAGCGTTACTCGCGGGAGATCTTCGGTGAGTGCGGGATTGGGCTTTCTGCCTCGGGGCTTGGGCGAGCAGTCTCCACAGGCCGCGCTCCCGGGGGCTGGGCGGCCAGGCAGTAGCCGCGAGGCCGGGGGTTGGGAGCAGTGAGTGGGGTGTGAATTCGCCCGTGTCCTCCTGCGGTGGCCACGGCCCGTAAGGAGTGTCCCTACATCCCCAAACCGGCGGTCTCTGCGTGGTGCTGCCTTCGGACTCGGCCCTGCAGGGATGCCTGCCTCTCGCAAGAGCCATCTCTGGTCTGGCTGGCACTGCGGCCCCTCAGCCGGCGAGAGGGCGAGGAGCGGGACGTCCTTTACGGACTGAACTGGCAGAAGTGCCCCTTCTAACCGGAGGGATTTGAGGAGCGCGCCCTGCCTGCCAGGCACTGTGGCTGCGCGCAAAACGTTGCCTGCCGGAAGCTCTGGGGTCTATGGGGGATTAGCCCAGGAAGGAGTTGTCCGGAGAGGGTCCGGGGCGCCGCGGAGCCCCCTGCAGAGGAGTCCGCGGTCTCGAGGAGGGCCGGCGCCCAAGCTGTGTCCTGCAGAGCGGCAGCAGGTGCAAAGGCGGGAACCGAGGTGCCGTCGGATTTCGTGAGGCCGGAACTGTAGTTCAGGGCGGGATGGGAGGCGGCGGGGGCTGGAGGCCTTCTCACCAGCCGCCCTGCAGGTTTTCAGGTGTGTTGATGCTCTGGGGCAGCGGCAGCTCACCTCCTCCGGAGGTCGGGGGCCCAGGTGGTGCCCGGCGAGCAGCTAGGAAGTTTGTGACTGAGGGGGGCTGCCGTGCATAGGCGTTTGCAGCGCCTCGCCGCAGGGGCCCCGGTTCTCCACTCGGGCCACCCCTGCTGCCCCCCAACTGCTCTGCTCTGTTTCCTGGTGCAGTCGGGCTGTGCCCCCATAAACACGGAGCAGACAGTGCAAACGGCCTGTATGGCTCAGTGGGGGCACCCTCCCGCGAAGCGAGAATCCCCCCCTCGATTCCCTGTCTGGGGGCTGTGTGAGAGGCAGTTGATCAGAGTTTCTCTCCCTCTTTCCCTACCCATTTCCTCCAGAAAAAAAAGTAAATCTCAAAAAAAAAAAAACAAAACCCTGAAACCAGAACAGCCCTGGACCACCTTCCTGCTGCATTCTCAGGGCTCCATGACCCACCCCTCAGGGGGTGTGTGGCTGAGCCTCTGGAAATGCAGGCAGGACACCCATTTTGAACTCGTGTCCCACGTGTAATGAATTCCAAGATCGAGGCTGTCGCCCTGACCACCAGACCTCGAGGACTAGCATCAGCTTCACAACACGACTCCCAGCTGCGTGCCCACTCGCTTGGGAGCAGGAGTTACAGGAGAGCCTGGAGGGGGGGCGGGGGGTGGGGTGGCTGGGCTCTTGCAGCCTGGATGACTGAGTTACCAACAGCTGTCCTGTCAGTTTCATGGAGAGCTGCCTTTTCTCTCACGTCCACCAAGGCTTTTCTAGGACTGGCACCCGGCGTTCGATCCTGCGAAAGTGCCTGGGTGCCTGGTGTGTGGCTGGGGGCAAAGCCACTGCTCCAGGTGCAGAGCGGCTGAGTCGGCTCCAGGGCTGGCGTGCAGGGCCCACGGAGTCCGGAAAGCTCCCAGACACCTTTGTCAGGGGCCAGCTGTTGCCAAGTCTTCTGGCAGCAGCTCCGCAGTGAGGGAAGGGGGTGCTCACCAGCCCAGAGGCCCAGCTCTGAGCACCTGCCTGTGGATTTGTGCTCCGTAGCTCACAGCGCCTCTGTGCTGGACGAGGCAGGCTCCGGGGTGCTGGGGTGAGGGGAGGCCACACCTCCAGAGAGCAGCGAGGAGCAGAGCAGAGTAAACCCTCCTGTAGGAGGTGGCAGCTGGGCCTGGGCAAGGAGGGGCAGAGGCAGAGTGGACCTGGTCACCAGGCAGCCTCGCGGCAGGAGGAAGATACCCAGGAGCCTCGGTGGCCATGCGGGGCTCCCCAGCTTTGGTGGTACAGGCAGGGCTTTGTCTCCCTAGAGAGGACCAGACAGCTCCTTTTTCGTGGGGCCCAGGCCTACACGCACCACGTGTGGGAGGAAAGCTGTGCCGTCGTTGACCTGCCTGAGTCCCCGAAGCCTGGCCCCACGGAAGCCCCTCGGGCCACACTTGGACAGATGCTGATTGGACCAGACGGCCGGCTGACCAGGAGGAGAGCCGAGGCTTGTGAAGCCGGTGAGTGAGGCTGTCAGCAGGCGCTCCCCAGCGGGGTGCTGGAGGTGGACGTGGCTGCTGCCATCCTGCCGTCCGAGTCACTGTGTCACTGTCTGACAGCAGGGGCTGGAGCTGGGCAAGCCCTGGCAAGCCCTGAGCTGTGGAGGTTCAGCCCCCTGACATCTGGGTCTAGGGGTGACAAACAGCTTCTAACCGTCAGGTGTAGTGGAGCAGAGACCCCTGGGTGGGCCGCCTGAGGGTCCCACCCACCTCCCCTGTGACTGCAGAGTCCTGTCTGGGTGGCAGCAGCCTGGTAGCATGTCAGGGTGCATCTCAGACTGTCACCTGTGTCACTGATCACAGCCCCTGCCCACCCCTGGGTCTTCACAGGGCTTAGGAACTTCTGCCAATCTGTGACACAGGAGCCACGTCTGGAGCCCCAGGCAAGACAACCAGGGGACTAAGGCCGAGAGGTTGCCGGGGCTGGCGGGGGCAGCCGTCCCCCTGCCCCGCAGTGGACCCAGAGTGCGAGGGTTTGGGAGAGAGCAGGAGTCCCAAGACCACCAGGCCCACCCCCTGGTGAAGCAGCTCTGTGCCGGGTCTGCCCTCAGGCATCCTTGAGCCTCCGGGGAGGCTGGGTGCAGGGTCAGTCTGTTCTGCGGGGAGGCAGTGGACCTCCGGCCCCCAGCACCTGCCAGGCCCCTGCTCTAGCTGACAGGTGGCCTTTCTTCCTCACAGACGTGTCTGGGACGGTGTCCAGAGCCTGCTCCTCATGTGTGCGAGCTGTGGACGGGACGGCGGCGTGCAGCCAGTGTGAGCGTGCCTTGTGCGGGCGCTGCGTGCGCACCTGCAGGGGCTGCGGGGCCTCGGCCTGCGCCCTGTGCACCCTCGTGGAGTAAGTGCTGGACCCATAGCTCAGGGGCGTCTGAGGGGGGCGTCTGAGCGCTGTGGCCAGTGCTCTGGGACGGCGACGTCGCGGACGGCCAGCTCTGTCCCTGGTGTGTCAGCGGCCCTGGCACTGGGGCGCTGCACACAGCCCTCCTGCAGGGGGCTCCTCCCTGGAGCAGACAGATGGGACAGCAGGGGCACCACAGTCATCACTGTGTCTGTGTTGGGGTCAGAGTGCTTGCTGGTCACTCAAGTGTGTGAATGAGGGGGGTCCCCCCAGTGCCTGGGCCCTGTGAGAAGACGCAGCCCCCACACAGACTCGGCCAGTCTGCAGAGCCACTCCGGGCTCTAGCCCGGCCATCCTCCAGCCTGCCTTGGGAGGCTAGGGGCGGGGGATGGGACAGAGTGCCCCTGGAAGGACCTGGCCCCGAGGTGGCCCTCGGGCGGAGGGACGCGAGACTGCTGGGCGCCGCCTGGGTCGTTGGGCTGGGGGCATGCGTTTGGCCAGTTAGGACTGCACCTTGATTTCACCAGCCTAGTTCTTCTCCTGTCCACTTGTGAACGGGAGGGCGGTCCAGCTGTAGCCAGTGGCCTCCTCACTTGAGGCCGGGAACACAGCACGAGGGCAGGTGGTGCGGGCCCCCGTGGCTGGCAGCTGCCTCCTGCCTGCAGGGCCCCCCAGGGCTCCCTGCTTGTTTCCTGCAGCCTTGCTTGCCCCTTCCCATTGCCCCCAGAGTTCAGGCTGCCCCAGCAGAGCAGGCCCAGCCTTGAGGCGTACACGCCCAGCACTCGTGGCCACGGCCAGGGTTGGGTGCTCTGCCCTGCTTCGTAAACCGCCGGCTTGCTCCAGGCCAGCAGGCATTCCGCCCCTGCCCCAGCTGCTCTAGGCACCGGGCCCTGGCAGCCTCCTGCCCACACCTGGCTGTCTCTGGACTGGCAGCTGGGCCGATGGTGGGCAGTGCTGGCAGCGCCGGGGGCCGCTTCATGGCGGGCGTGTCTGCAACCAGCCAGCTCGCGGTTCTGACCCCCTTGGTCGCCTGCCGTGTGTTTCCGGTGTCCTGGCCTCCCCTGACGCGTGTCTCCTGCAATTCCCGTGTTCCGTGTAGGCCTTATTGGACGCCCACGAGGTGGCTGTGGGGCACTGTTTGACTTGACACCCAGGCTGGGCCCCACGTGGCTCATGGGCCATTCCAGTCCATAGACCTTTGGCCTCGATCCTCACACTCTGGTGGCCGAAGTCCACCAAGCGGTGCGTCCCGAGGCCTCTGGAGGCGTCTGCTCCAGCCAATCTCAGCTTCCAGGGGTCGCTGTGGTGGGCCCCTCGCCCCGTCCTTTCGTCGTCTTCCCTCCACGGGTGTTTCTCGTCACGTGTCCTTTTCCTCGGGTCCCCTCCTGCCAGGGGACCGCCTCACTGATGACATGCAGCAAACAACACCCAATGAGTGGGTGGCCTTGGGGCTGGCACCTCGACATGTAAATGGGGGGGGACAGCTCAGCCCCTAACACGGCTCTTCTCTCTCCTCCCTGCGCTGTCACAGCTGCGGTGACGACCACGAGGAAGTGCTCTGTGCCGGCTGTGCTGTGTTCGAAGCCTGAGGGGGCTGGAGGGGCCGCCGAGCCTGGACAGCCTTACTGGTGCCTGCGCAGAGGGAGTGGGGGGGGCTTGCTTTTTGATATTTGTGCTCCTAGAGACAGACTGAATAAACCCTGTATATTTGGATAAGAGGACTTGCTGGTGGTGACGGTCCAGAGGGTGCGGGCGGCTGCAGACGGCCAGGTGCTGGGGGCCCAGGAGGGGGCCGGCCATCGTGCCACTCTGGCAGCCCCACTGAGCTTCGTGTGAGGCGTCTGCCTGGGCACCTGCCTGTCCAGTTGGGGAGACCGAGGCCGCAGTGGCTCACTTACCACGGTGCCCCTTCTCCCTGTCTGATTGCGTGGGGGTGCACACAGACCTCGCCGCCCGATCCACGTGGAGTGTATGGGTCAGTGGTGTTTGGCCCATTCGCGTGGTCCTGCCCCTGTCACCACCGCCATCGCAGAGTCCCTGGTGTCCTGCAGAGCTGAGGTGGCCACTCCAGGGGCCCGTGTCTGCTGGTGCACAGTTGGCCTCTGTGTGGCCGAGTGACAGGCACTGTGTGGCTCGTTGGCACTGTTCGTTCCCGTCGTGGATGCAGGGCTGTGTCCACGTCCCAGTGGCCTCCAGCATCTCCTGGAGTCTGCTCTCAGCTCTTTGGGGGGCGTGCCTGGCAGTGGGGCTGCAGGGCAGGTGGGGGCCTGTGGAAATCGCCAGTGTCATCCAAGACCCAGGTCTGGCGGCCAAAGTGCCGTGGGTGCCATTGCCCGTGCGGGCGGTTTCCGTGGGGCCGTGTCACTGTGGGGTGGAGTGCAGAGCCTGTCGGGATGAGGTGGGGGGACCGCTGAGTACCGGGCCTGCTTCTGATGTGCGCCAGGCCCTCTGGATGGCCGGGCTTCCTGGCCACGCTGCAGGGGCGCTTCAGGAGAGGAAGCCGGGTCCTCGCTTCCCCCTCTGAGCACCAACAGGGGCTTCAGGGGTTGAGTGGCCGGCTCCTCTCCTTGCCACCAGGTGGCGCCCACAGCACATCCTGCTGCACAGCCCTGCTCAGTCCTGCATGACCTTGGCCAGCTCTTGAGTCCTGTGGGCTCCTTCCTGGTGGTCAGATGACCCCTAGGCATTGGGCAGGGTGGAACCAGTGGGGACAGGGACAACCAGGACACCAGCCTCCAGCCAGTCCTGAGGGAGCTGGGGGGACATCTTTTCTTGGAGGCTGTTCCGGGGCCTTGGGGCCAGAAGAATGGGGTGCTCCCCACAAGCAAAACCAGCCTTGAAGTTGAAAAGCCGTTTTTATTGAGGGGTTTGGAGGGACAGTCTCATTGTAATAGTAAAAATACTAAAGTTGAATGTAAAAAACACCATGGTGCAGTACAGTGTCTGGCCAGGAGGACACAGTGACCGCCCTGCAGGGGCGTCGGGTGGGGCAGTGGGGATGTGAGGCTGCTCTAGAGCCAGGTGCTACAGGGGCCGCTGGTGGGACGTCCCGAAGAGAGGGGCAGGGCGGGGCCGGCCTCTGTGGGACCACGCTGCCGACTGCACACGAACTGTGGGACGCGCCGCAGCAGGTCTGCACCTGCGCCTGCCCTGGGGTGAGCTTCAGCCCAGCCCCGAGCCTGCCACGGGGGCCTCAGTCCTTGGGCTGCCATGAGGGGCTGCCATGTGCTCCGACCCGAGGGAGGGGCTAGGCCAGCCCGCCACAGTCCGGCTGCTTCTGGGGCCTCTGGGTCAAGCACGGACAGGTCACAACCGGGGGCGGCTGCGAGGGGCTGGGGAGCTGCCCGGAGCCCAGCTGCACTTGGCTACAGAGGTCCTCAGCACTTCCTTCGTGAGCCTTGCCGTCTGCAGGCCAAGGCCACGTCCGGAAAACTGGATGAAATAAATTAAGAAAAACCGCAGGACAGCCCTCCTCCTGAACGGCCAGGCGCGCCCCGCTCACAGCACGGAAGTCCTCCCATCCAAGCATGAGGCCGGAAAGAGCGACGTCTGATGCAGGCTGTCCATGCGGTGCCCTCCTGGTCCACGGAGCCGGCACCTGGTGGGCCCCCTTCAGGCCGTGCCGCTGGCTGAGTAGGAGAACTGGGGGAAGTGCGGCCTCCGCTCGCTGTCCACACACTCCATGCTGTCCTCTGCGGGCGGGAGACGGGGTCCAGGCACGGGCCAGGGCCACTGAGGCAGGTCCCGGAAGACTGGACTCCGAGGCCCCGACCCCCAGCACCGGGCCCTCCCACCCTGACCTCTGCCCTCCTCAGGGGATCTCTCCAGTGAGGGTGGACAGGGCAGCCTCCCCGGGAGGGCAGCCCAGGCCCTGTGGTCTGGAGGGAGGCGGCTCTCACCTTGGTCAGGCGGGGTGATGGTGATCATCTGGGCGGTGAACTCCTCGTCAAAATACCTGGTGTCTGTCTCCGAGGTGACCTGGGGCTTGAAGGGTGGACTGAGCTGCAGGGCAGGGTGGCAGGCAGGTTACAGGCTGGCTCTGCACCCACCACCGCCCAGCACATACCCGGCCCCCAGGGGGCTGAGCCCGTCACCTCAGCCAAGGACAGGCCGGGTCCTCCTCACAACAGCCTGCAGGTGACAGGTGGTAGTGCAGCCCAGCTTGGAAAGGCACCTCAGCACCCCCCCCCCCACATACACACACACACACACACACCCCCGAGGCGGACGGGCCAGGGTGGGGGTGAGTCCATTTTAATTTTCCTAGCTTTCTTGTTTTCAATTTTGATTTTCTTACAAACTGGGAAGGGGGTGGAGAGGGCACCTTGGAGCAAAGTGTGCAGAGTGGGCTCCCCCACCAGGTGCCTCCCACAGCCCAGTGGCTGGGGCTCCCACTTCAGTAGGCCACAGTGCAGGGAGAGTCCCCACCGTGGTCCCACAGCCCACCTGGGCTGGCAAGTGGCCTCCCTGTATGGTGGGCCCTCGGGGCAGTTACGCCTCTGCAGGCCCAGGGAGCAGAGGCCAGTGCCAGCCATGTGGAGAGCAGGGTCCAGGGGGTGCACCCCAGCCCCAGCCCTGCCCTGGCGTGTTCTCGAAGCCCCCCTGCAGCTCCCCCCCAGGAGGCGAGGAAGGGGCCAGGGCCCCTCTGTCACCCAGGCCCCCAGGTGGTGGGGCAGGGGACTGGTGTTGAGTGTGGGGCGTGGCTCAAGGGCCCCAATGCAGCCTGGCGGAGTCTGGGTGCCAAGAGGACTTGCCACAACCCAGAACATGGGGGGTGAGGGTGGGCTGTGCACGCAGTGAGACAGTGCTGCAGGCAGGCGCCCCAAGTCCCCCAGGCCCTGGCCAGGGCTAGGGCAGCCCCTTGTGAGCTGTCAGGGTCCTTGTTCAAGGCTGGGCAGGAGTCAAGCCCTTGGAAGGCCAGGCCAGGAGGCAGAGGGCCGTGGGGCCAGAGCATGGAGCAGAGCTGGGCAGGGTGGGGGCGCCCCGTCCTGCAGGCAGGGGAGGGTGGGCTGGCAGCGGATGGGAGTGTGCTTGGTGATGGGCACCCTTGGGCCTGCACCGGGGGCAGGGAGGGGGCATGTGCAGGCTGCAGCTGCAAGCTCCTGGGAGGCCTCCCTCAGGAGCCAGCTAGGCAGGTGCTACCTGGCTCCCGCAGCCCAGAGGGCAGGCCTGGGCTCTTCTAGTAGCGTGAGGGATTGAGGTCAGACAATGGGAGGAACTGGGACAGCAGGGTAAATGCCCCCACCCTCAACTCCAGCACGCAGCACCCTGGAAGGGAACCAAGGCCCTGGAAGGTAACAGGGAGCCACTGGCAGGGAACACACACAGACACAGCTCCTCCCAGGGAGGGGTGGGGGCAGGGGACACCGAGCCCGGGGAGGGTGTGGGGTGGCCCTGTGGCGAGAGGCGGGGGCAGTGCACCTTCTTCTCGTACACGTCCTGCCACACGATGCCGGCGAAGAAGCGGTGCTGCATGATCTCCTTGGCGTCCTCCGAGCCCCCTCCAAGCCTGCAGGCGACAAGAGGCCGCGGTGACCCTGCTGCCGCCTGCCCACCAGGGCTCAGGCCACCCTCCAGGGCCCTCCTCCGCTGGATGAGGCCAGACTGCCGGACGGCACTGGGCAGTGTGGGCGGAGGGTGGTGGGGACGCACAGTCCCCTGGCTGAGCCTCAGCGGGCACAGAAGGCTGGGTGAGCAGGAGCTGCCGGCGGGGTGGGGTCTTCCCAAGGGGTGTGAGGGGCCAGCTGGTTATGGGCAGAGACACCCCCCCCCCACCCAACAGGCTGCAAGGGACCTTGACGCCCACCTCTGCTTGGGGTCCTTCTTGAGCAGCCCAGACAGCAGGGCCTTGGCCTCGGGGCTGAGCGTGCGTGGGAAGCGGATCTCCTCCATGAGGATGAGCTCGAAGAGCTTCTCGTGGTCCTGGTTGTAGAAGGGCAGGCGGCCGCACAGCATCTCGTACATGACCACGCCCAGCCCCCACCAGTCCACGGCCCGGCCGTAGTCATTGTCCTCCAGCACCTCGGGCGCCAGGTACTCAGGCGTCCCGCAGAAGGTCCTCATGGTGGCCCCGTCCTTGATGCCCTCCTTGCACAGCCCGAAGTCAGTGATCTTGACGTGGCCGTCCTTGTCCAGCATCAGGTTCTCCAGCTGCGGGGCGTGGCCTCGTTAAGGCCATGGTCCCAGCCCTGCCCCCACCACCCTGGCCCCCCGCCCCCCACCAGGCCCACCTTGAGGTCCCGGTAGACAACGTTCTTCTCCGAGTGCAGGTAGTCCAGGGCCGACACGATCTCTGCGCCGTAGAAGCGGGCGCGGTCCTCGGGGAACACCCGCTCCCGCGACAGGTGGAAGAAGAGCTGTGGGGGTCGGGGGGTCTGAGCCAGGGTGCCGGGCCAGCCTGAGACCCCCACTGGTCGGGGCAGGGCGGCAGGCCCCCTGCAGCTGGGGTGGCAGCACTGTCCCCAGGCTGGAAGGGAGCCCGAGGCTGGCGCGGGGTTGCTCAGCCCCGGCAGGCAGCCCTACCTCGCCGCCGTTGGCGTACTCCATGACGAAGCAGAGGCGGTCGTGCGTCTGGAAGGAGTACTTCAGGGCCTGCAAGGGACACGGGCTGGAACTGCAGCTCCTCAGGCCAGGCGGGGGGGCCCCAGTGCATCGCTGCCCCACGGGCGGAGCTTGGGGGCTCGGCCAAGTCTCGGGAGCCGGCATCTCAGTGGCTGGCAAGTCCCATGAACTTGGAGGTGCCCCAACAGGCTGCCCACACCCCCCCCCGACCTGGAGAAGACCCTCCGTCCTGGCGCAGCTGCCGTGTTTTGTGAGGACGGCCCCCTTGTGCAGTCCCCACACGCACATACTGCCTGGCTCCTACTCCAGCAGCTGGAACCGGGAGGTTCCCAGGAAGGGCGGGCGAGAGAAAGCTCAGCGGACGAGAGCAGCAGACAGGGCCGGGGGCACCCGGGTGGGGAGCCAGACCCCGAAGTGTCCAGTAAGACCCTGGAGGCCAGGCCCAGCTGCCAGGGCCTGAGTCCAGACCCCAAGGACCATGGGAACCCACCGTGACTTCCAGGAGCGGCCTGGCACACCAGTGTCTGGGTGACTCTGCTGTTCCCAAAGGCTAAGGGACCCCCACAAAGGCTTCCTGGGCGGAGCACCCCAGCTCCCCCTTTCACATGTGGGACAGTGCGCATGGCCCATGGGCCTGCGTGAGGCACCTCCACCTGACCCCTCAGGCCTGCCCGCTGATGCCCCAGCACCACGGCCCAGGAGTCCCCAGCCCTGGGGTGCACAGAAGTCTGTCCTCGATCCAGGCTGGCGCCTGCCTGCCCCACGCCTGACGCCCGGGAACTCGCCGGCCACAGAAGCGCCCGGGGCCACTCACCGTCAGGAAGGGGTGCCGGGAGTTCTGTAGCACTCGGTTCTCCGTAAGCGTGTGTGCCACCTCATCCTTGGCCACGATGACCTCCTTCTTGAGGATCTTCATGGCGTAGTAGCGGCCTGTGGCCTTCTCCTTCACCAGGATCACCTTCCCGAAGGTGCCCTTGCCCAGCAGCTTCAGGTACTCGAACTCGTTCATGGTCTGCGGGGTCAGGGTCGGGTCAGGGTCAGGGGCCGGGGCCGGCCTTGCACAAGGGCACGGGGCTCTACGCCCCACTCGGTGCCGAAGGAGGGACAGCGCCCCGGCCTCCTGGAACCCGGGGTCCCAGCCTTGCTTCTGAGCCAGGGCTCTGAGGACCAGACTGTGCTGCCCACAGTGGGGAGACCATGGGAGGGGCCAGGCGGGGGCTGCTCACCACTCGGTGCTTGGGCTTGGCCAGGGACACCTCCATCTCCTCGGCCCCCGAGTTGTCACTGGGCGAGCCCGATCTGAACTCCATCATCTCCTCCTCCTGCCGCTTGAGCCCGTCGGCCACTGTCTGGATGGCTGTGGTCCACTCCTCCCTGTAGGGCACGAGTTAAGGTCCCAGTCCTGTTCCCGCCCCTGTGCCCTCCTAAGCCTCGCCTCCACCACCCAGCTCAGAGGCCCCAGGAGGCTGCTGGTTGGAGCCCTGGGCTGGCCCCGCCCACTCTGGGTCTTCAGCACTGGGGGCCCCAGCAGGATGGACTCCCCTTCCCCCAAGGGCCTGAGAGCCCTGGGGAGCCAGGGCCCACCCCGTGCGCCCACCCCGTACCGCTCCTCGGGCGTCTCCACGTGGAAGGTGCGCTCGATGACTGTGGTCCACTGCAGGCACCGGATGATGAAGGTGTTGGGCCGAGGCCGCTCTGTCTTCATCAGCTGGCATTCTGGGGGTGGGGCCGGCAGGTGAGCACCCTGGGTATGCGCCGCAGACCCCACCCCCAGGTCCTGGGAAGACCCATCCCGTTCTCTCTGCAGGCTTCAGTTTCCGTCCTCACAGGATGGGGCTGGGACCCGTTCCCACGCAGATGCTGCTCTGCTCCGGAGCCGCCCCAGTGCATCACCCCTCCCACAGCCCTTCCCACGCTCTCTGAGCCCCCACTCGGGCCTCAACTGGCCGGAGGGGGAGTGCAGGGTCCCAGGAAGGTGCCGAAGGGTGGGGCCTCACAGGAAAGCAGCCTGCCTACTGCATCCTCCTACCCCCTCTCCTTACAGACTCCCCCAGGGTGGGCCTGTCCTGAGGCAGCTGTAGGATGAGGCCCCCCCCACTGACCCCACCCCCCACCCCCAGGGCCCAGGGGGTCCAGGCAGGCTGGCCCGCCTAGGAGCACACACACACCTGGATGTCCCGCACACCTGTGACGTGCAGACACCTGGGTCACACACCCTCCCCCCAGAGCACAGAGCCTGCATCACCTGCCGAGGAACTGCGGGGACGTGTTGGGTCGGAGAGGGGTGTGCGTGAGCGTGGGGACTGCAGGAGGCCCCTGGGACAGGTTCCAGCCCAGCCACTGAGGCGGGGGGCGGGGCCCGTGCGGGGGCGGGGCCCGTGCAGGGGCGTCTGGCATCCCAGCCTCTGCATCCTGGCAATAGGAGGGCCTGGGGCCCCGCCACACCCGGGGGGGGGGGGCAGGGCGGGGGGAGCAGTCTGTCAGGCCTGCGGCTGGCTGGGCGCATGGGCCCAACTCTGCATGGAGCAAGGCGTGTCAGCACGGGGTGGGGGCAGGCACCCACCTCCCACTTGCTAATGGAGGGCACCCGGTGCTCCTGGGACCCAAGCCTGCCACGCCCATCTCAGGGCCTGGCTGCTGGACGCCGTCTGTGAATCCGCCCCTAGAAAAGCCCCTTGGCCGGTGCGCCAGCCCCACCCCAGGGCTCAGGCAGCCCCTCTGGCTGGCCCCCACCTCCCACCTGCCTCCAGAGAACCCCTCACCCCGTGTGCTTGGCCGTGGGAGACCCTCGAGGGGTCCCATCCTCCAGCAGGGAGGCCAGGCCAGCTGCCTCCAGGTACCTGGGCCAGCCAAGGCCCTGCATCGCCACAGCCTGCCCTCAGGGGGCGTCGTCTGCCTCCTGGGTCTCCCCTCACTTGGGCCCCCGACTCACTTCTCATCAGCCCAGCCACTGGCAGGACAGTAACTCTGCAACCGTCCCCCTGGTGCACTGGGGGGTACGCTGGCCGTGCCCTGTGCCCCCAAAGCACGTGCGGGGTAGCCGAGGCGCCAGGCCCCTCACCCAGCACACCTGCAGGCCGGGAGCAAGGGCTCCTTCTGTCCACCTGGGCACGGCCTGCCGACGCTGCGGCCAACTGAGACCCCAGCTGGAACCTGGGGTCTGGCGAGGTTGGGGGCTGGATGGCAAGGAGGATGGCGCTGAACGGGGACCGTACCTGGGGTGGAGCCAGGACCCTCCCCCCACAGTGGGCACTGCACCCCAAGCCCCTGAGGCAGCCCAAGACGGCCATGGGGCTCGGCTAATGAGCCCATCAGGCAGCCACACAGCTGCCGCTGTCCCGGCCCCCAGCAGAGCAAGGGTGACAAACAGGGCTAGAAGCCCACCCAGCTCAGCTCCCACCCACCGCCGCCGCCCCAGGCCCAGGCGTGGGACGCACCTGCCACGCCCCCAAGGTTTGCAGCAAGGGCACAGTTTACAAAGGGGCCGGCCAGCCGTGCCCCTCCCCCACCCCAGCTGAGGACAGGAGCAGAGGTGGGGGTGCAGGGGCGGGGCCTCTGACGACCTTCCAGGGGCAGCGCATGCTCTTCCGGGGACCACAGAGGCCCCCACAAGCCGGGTGCCCCTCGTGCGTGCTCATCCCACCCCCCCAACCAAGGGCTGCGCTAGGCAGGCTCCCTCCAGCCCTGGCTGCCCCAGGCTGGACTCTGCCCCCACCAGGCCCGGCCTTCCAGCCTGCAAAGTGGGAGTGCCCAGGACAGCCCCAGGGTCACCGGCCTTGGGACTCTGCACAGAGCCCCACCCGGCAGCCCTGGCCGCTAACAGGTTCCCCTGGTGACTCAGAGCCAGCGCTGCCCAGCCTGGGCCCTGGCGGCCACCAGCCCCCAGCAGAGGGCCCCTCTGGGGCTCACTCACGTGCCACGGAGAAGTTGTTGAGGGGCGACTCGCGCTGCTCCACGTCCTGCGGCCGCTCCTTGTAGCCGATGAAGGTGCCGTCGTTCTTGAGCAGGAAGTAGCGGGGCCGCCAGGTTTTGATGTACTCCCCTGAGGACACCAGCATGTGAGGGGCTGCCGCGGCCGGACCCACACCCCTCCTCCCACAGACCCCAGCACAGGCAGCTGGCTGTGCCGGGCCCGGCGGGCACCTGGACAAGGGGCCGAGGGCCCAGTCCAGAGGGCTTTCCTGGGGAAGGTGCCCCAGCAGCTCAAGCACTGGCCTCAGCCACCTGCTGGGGGCCTCAGGGCCAAGAACTCTCCCCACCCACGCTGGGTCGGCCACTGGTCGGCCAAAACAGTTACTTTGGTGCCAATGGCAGGCGAATAGCTCACCACAGCCGACCCCCAGCCGAGGGGATGGAACCCCGTATCCATCAGTGAGGGGACAGCACCATGTGCTGGAGACCCAGGCCTGCCTGGCAGACACAGGCCCTCCTGCAGCCCTTGGGACAGAGCCCCCACCGCCCCTGTGATAACACTCACCACGCAGGGGCCAGAACAGTCGGCCCCGGGCACAGCAGAGGACAGACCCAGGGGCGGCGAAGCCCTGTGGCCCTGGACCCAGCCCCCCGCCCATGGGTCAGCCAGGTACAGCAGCTCCCCCCGAGTTTTGCGACATCAGCCGTAAACAGGCGTTCGCACAGAAGTGAGCAGATGTCCTCTGTGATATTCGAGCGACTGTCATTTTTCATACTGACACCCAGAAAAAATGTTTCATTTACATTTTGCCGAGCAAGGAGTTTGAACAACAGTGGAAAACTTACTAATGAGGCAGCCGCTTCTTTGGAGGAGCCACGGGCAGGGCGGGGTGGGGTCCCCGAGCTCTGGGCCGAGCTGAGCCCTCCCAACAAGAGCGGAACCACCAGAGCCGCCTGGCACTCGGGCCAGTCCTCCTCCCCCCCAGCCGTGCACCTCTGGGTGCAGCCTCCAAGGCCCCTCGCTCTCCGTGACCCTGAGCTGCCGGCAGGGGGGGAGGACCCTGGGGAGCGAGGGGCTCCAGCCACCCCTAGTGCCCTTCCCTGGGGAGCCCACCCACGGGGATCCTGCCACCAGGCCCAGGCACCACAGCCGGTGACCTGGGGTCTCCACCCCGACAGCACTCAGCGGGGTCTCCACCCAGTCCCCTCCTCCAAGCCCCTGGAGACAGGCGGCTGCGGTCTGGCCCCACATCCAGGCCCACGAGGGGCCTCCGTGTCCCCCTTCCCCTTTGGCGCTGGGGGTGGGAGTGAGCAGAGCGGGCTGGGGAGGGGTGCGCCCACCGCCCGTGCGGTGCCGTGCGGCCGACTGCGCCCGCTCGCTGCCCCCCGCCTGTGCGCCAGTCTGGAGCTGTCGGTCCCTGATGGAGTGCCTCCCGTCCCACCAGCTGCCACTCCCTGGGACGCTGACTGAGCGGAGAGTGATGAGCGAGGCATCCGCGCAGCCCGCGCATCCGTCTTGATACACCAACTGTGCCGGCCCCACTGTGCGCAGCGAGACCACGGCGCACACTGAACCTGCAGTCAGTGGCGGTCCTCACTCCATCCGCCCCCCCAGGCCAGGACACCCCAACACCCAGGACTTGCCTCAGCCAAGTGACCCTCAACCAGCTCTCACCCTACTAGCGACCCCAGGGCTGGGAAGGTTCTAGAACCCAGAGCTGGGAGGGGGCCCAAGGGAGCAACATGCGAGGGAAGGGGCTGAGGGGAGGGCGCCCTGCCCAGGTGAGCCATGGGGCGGGCTTTTGAGGAAGGGCCAAGAGCCCTCTGGGCCCTCCACCAGGCCCTGGGCACTGATGGGGGCCAAGGCCATCCCCCCACCCAACCTGGCCAACCCCAGGAGCCAGATGACACCCAGGGGGGGCCCCGGGAGGCCAGGGCCAAAGCGCCACCGGTTCGGCTCCCCAGCCGAGACCACTCCACACCAGCTGCCAGGAAGCGGGAGCCACAGCCAACCTGGGCCTGAGCCAGGGGAGGTGCTGGGGCTCCAGTGCCCACCCCACCCCAAGAAACTGCTAGCTGGGTGGCAGGCGGGCAAGAGGGGTGCAAGTCAGCCCCCCCTCGGGGTTCTCTTAGAAGCCCAGCCCTGGACTGGCAGGGTGGCCGCACAGCTCCTCTGAGACCTCATCCTACAGAGCCCCCACCAGGGAGCCAGCTGCCCCGGCTGGGCTGGGGCTGCAGCTTAGCCCGGCCCCCCCGTCGGGTCAGGGCTCCACCACCTCTTCCTGGGGCCCAGGGCCCCTCCGCCGAGCCCCTCGGTACCCCGGGAGTGGCAGCCCTCGAGGGCCCCTCCCACCTCCCTGATCTTCCTGGATGCCACTCTGTCCCACAGGGCTGCAGGACCCTGGAGAGAGGGGGACTCCTGACCTGCGCGGCCAACCTCGCCCTCAGAGCCATGGTGCCAGGGCTCAGGGACAGGACTGCGTGCACCCTGGCCCAACTGCAGGCCAGACACGGAGGCTGCAGACGGCGGGCAGGGCTGCCTGCGGTGGACAGCCTGAGGGGCAGCTCGCCAGGCCGGGCCCCCGGGCACACGGCACCTGGGCTGCGGCCACCTGGACGCCACGCCCCGCACTTCCAAACACCCTCTGCAGTCCTCGGCTCTCAGGGAAACTGCTGGGTAAACACTTTGCCGCAGTGGCGGCGCTGGCGGCGCTGGCAGGGTGCCAGGCAGTGCCGCGCTGTTTCTCCACAGCGAAGCAGCCCCAGCAGGCCCGGGGAGCGCCGCCAGCTGACAGCGGCGACCGTGCGGTCCCCTGCCGACGCCACATCCATCGCGCCGACAGCTGCTGGGTGCCCATTTACTTTCCCCAGCACAGCGCGCAAACGGCCCTGCTGACGGTGGCCCATCCATCGCCGCCTGCCAGGCAGGGGTCACCTCGAGGGGTCCCTCTGCCTGTGCCAAGGCGGGTCCTGTGTCCCCACACCAGCAGGGCACTGACCAAGGCCAGGCGAGGGAGGCGCCGCACCAACCCCCGTCTGTCAGGGCACAGAAGGCCAGCATGGACGAGGGAGGACAGAAGACCGGGGAGGTGGCGTCTCTGGGCCCAGCAGAGGCGCCCGACGCACCCAGGTCCTGATATCCCCCCAGAAGGCCCCACCCAAGGCAGGCACAGGGCTTCCCACCGAGGCGGCAGGAGAGGGAGCCAGACGGGGGCAAACAGCCCAGCACCCCAGCTGCCCAGAGGACAGGTGGGTGAGCCCCACCCCCGGTGGACACGCCCCTGGGAAAGGACAGGAGCGCCCCCAGGCTCCTCCCAGGGTCTGGCTGCTGAAAGTACTGCCCCAGGGACAGGGACACATGCAGTCCCCAGGGGCGCGGGCCACACCCACGACCCCCTCCCTGCAAACCCTCAGAGGAGCTGGCACCACGCCCCTGCATCTGAGTGAGCCCTACGCATCCCCGAAGACTCAGGAAAAGGCACCCTCTGCGTGGCAGGGGTGGGGGCCAGGCCAGGAGGGACCACGCCCTCGAGACGGCCTCCACCTTGCAGCCTTCTCCTGTGGTGACGGGGTGGCAGGCCACCTGCCCCGTCATCTCACATCCCGGGCCTCCCCCCGCACTCCAAACTCAGCTGCCTCTGAGCCCCAGACCTGCCGGAAGGCTTCCTGTGTCTCTGTCTAGGATCCCACCAAAGGCACCGCGCCCGTCAGCACCCCAGGACCCACTGCGGATGGGGACTCGACCAGCAGGATCACCGGGGAGACGAGTGAGGGGCTGTGGTCCCAGGCCACCTGGGCACCCCGCCTGAAGCCCCCACACCGGCCCCAGGGTCTCTAGGCTGTAGGCCTTTTACTGCTCACGGTCATGAGCTGCTGCGGTGGGCAGGAGGGATGAATGTGAGGCCTTGAGGGGACACTGCCTGGCTCTCACCCACAGCCCCGCACCCTTGGCCAACCTGGCCAGGACCGGGTCTGGGCTGCGGGCCTTCTGGGGGGGCCGTGGGGCACAGCTGGGGCAGGCACAGCACAGGGGCGGAAGTTGGGGGGGCAGCCCTGGGAGCAGGCCCAGAGACAGCCGGCAGCTCCAGTTACAGGCAGGCCTGTGGGGAGGGGGTGGCCCCCGCGCCTGGCAGGTGTGCCTGGGCACAGGGGACACCAGCGGGAGGGACCGGATCCAGGACCTGGCCTGGAGGCACTTCTAGGAACCGGCCTGATTCGACCCAGCCAGCTCCTGGGTGCAGGCGGTGGGGAGTGGGGCACAGCGGGGGCTTCACCCTTCCCCCCAGCACCCCTGTCCAGTCCGGAGCTTCCCTCCTGCACACACACGCTCTGCCACCCAGGGCAGCTGGGAGCCCCAGAGGCCGCCCGGCCCAGGCCCTCCCCTCTGTGACCCCCGTCGAGCTTGGCCCCGGGGCAGGACAGCTGTGCCTAGAACGGCCAGCACCCAGGAAGAAGGCCACAGTGCCACCCGCTGGGTAGCCCCAGGCCGTGGCCCCTCACCCCCACCCCCTGCAGGAGGCCCAAGCTTCCTCTTTTGTTGTTTTGAAGGGAAAACTCAACACACTCCCAAAACAGGAAACCGAGCCCCATGCAGCTGGCCCGGCGCAGCCACGCATCTGCACAGGTCCACACGGCCAGCGGGTCAAGGCGCTGCCTTCCCCGGCACGTCCAGCGAGCAGGGGCCCAGCACCCGTGCCCCCCGTGGGCCTGGCAGCCCGTGTGGACCCAGGGGCTGCTCTGGACCCCGAGGGTGTGGGCCATGGCACACGCTGCCCTGTGATCGGGGGACTGCGGGGACCCCAGCCTCAGCCACAGGGCGGGGCCTGGGTAAGACCTGGGGCTGCCATGGCAGTTCGTGCTCCAAGTGGGCTGGACAGGACTGCCAGGCCACGTCCCCCGTGTGTCCTCGGCAAGTTGCTGCCTCCTCCCAAGTGGGGCAGGTGGCAAGCTCCACGCACCCCACGCCATGTCAGCAAGGTGGGACCTCCACGCCCCCCACAGGGCCACACGAGGAGCACAGGTGATGGCTACTCCAGGGCGAGAAGCAGGGAATGGCCTCAACTGAGGGCTGGGTTGTGGAGAGGCCCAGGAGCTGACCGCCCCAGGAGCCCTGAGAACGGAGCCCCACCTGGCACAGCTCCTGGGGGCGAAGGTAAACTGAAGTGCAGGCGCCCAGCAGACAACATAGGTGGCCCTTTCCGGCATGGCCCCAGGGACAGGGGAGCCCCACTCCCACAGGCAAGCTCTCCTTGACCCCGTCACTCAAACCCGACTTGCTGGGTGCCCAAGGCCTGCACCCCACTCCTTCCCCAGGCCCGGGGCTCTCAAGCCTGTGGCCCTTTCCCTTACCCTGTGTCCCCCCATCTGACCACCCTCCTGTCTGTGGGTAGGAGTGGGGCCCCATGGGCACCAGGAGCATGGCAGGGGCGGGCCGCCCCAGAACCACTGTGCAGACTAAAGCCCCGGCCTGCGCAGTCTGCAGACAGCCGGGGCTACAGGCCGGGCCCAGCCAGACCTGCCTCCGGGGCTGAGCTGGTTTTTTCAAGTCGACCTTCAAGAGTCAGGAGTGCGCAAACAGACTGAGTCTTTAAAAAGGGAAACGTTTGAGCAAACCTTGGGCCCCAGCACTCAGGGCTCAGGATGTCCACCCCTGAGGGGCATTTGCCCACCTGCCCCGGGCTCACTTTCCTGGGGACCAGCTCCCTGCTGGCCACACAGGGACATGGGGGCCAGAGGCCTGGCCTGGGCCCCACGCTCTGCACCCTGCAGCTGCTCTGGCCTAAAGCGCACAGCATCAGCCCCTCAGAACTCGGCTTGTGGCCCACCGCCCACCTCCCCCAGGGGTGTGAGGAGCCCAGGCCCAGGGGTCTGGCCAGCACAGGACTGGCCACCCCGCTCCTCGGCAGTGCGCGCAAGGTCCCTGGAGGCAGCCACTTGTCAGGTGGCTGGCCCTGGGGTGGACGCAGGAAGGATGGATGCGGGCTGTCGTCCACAGTGGTACCCTGACCTCCAGGTCGCTCTGGTGGCCACAGAGCCCCCACACCCACCTGTGTGCCTGAACCTATCCCTGGCCAGGCCCAGGTGCCAGGAGCAGGGGAGGGGCACAAAGACGCAGACCAGCATTGCAGGTGGGGCCCCCGCCCACCCCCAGGCCAGACGAGGACCCCACTCCACCCAGAGCTGCCCCAGGCCCGTCTTCCTCTTCCAGTCCCTGCCCCACAGGCAGCGGGTCAGGCAGAGGGTCAGCCAGGAGCCGCAGGAGGAAGACTGGCCCGGGGCAGCTCTGGGAGGCTCCTCCGAGGGGGTGGCGGGGAGGCAGCACTTCCGGAACGCCTGGGCGAGCCGAGGAAGCTAGGCGAGGGCTGCCCCTGGCTGCTGGGCAGCTGAGTGGGGCCCAGACCTGCCTCCCGCCCTGTCGGCGGCCAGCAAGCAGCCCCCACCCCACCCCACCCCAGGAAGAGCCTGCATTCCTCCCCTAATGGCACCTCCAGCCCCTCACCGGGTCACCCCAAAACCCAGCACACGTTTGTGGGGAGCAAACCCACAGGAGGACAGCAGGGACCCTGACTCGGCAGAGTGGGGGTGTGGCTGGCCTGGGGCGCACGGGTCCCCAGGAATGGAGGGGGGGGAACCAAGGCCGGAGACACCCATCGCACTTGCCCTTGAAGACACATTGCAGGACGCTGATCCCTGACCTCCAGTCCCTTCAGCAGGCTCGCACCCTGACCAACAACCGCAATTTGCCCCGGGCACCAAGGGGCGCACCTGCCGGAGCCTGGCCAGTGGGCAGACACCCCAGTGACAGGGCAGGGGTCCGGGCGTGTCCCGGGCCAGCTCCCAACCTAACAGTCAATAAACGTTAGCCAAGGTCAAGGTCAGTCCCAGGGGGAGAGTGTTTCTGCATGGCTGCCACACACAGGGGAACGGGCCAGGGTGGGGGCGGGGTCCTGGACCCAAGAGGCCAGGCAGCCAGAGCAGGGCCTGGCCGGGGGCTGCCACACAGGAAGCGGGGCTCCCGGGGAACACAGGGGTGTAAGCCTTGGGGGAGGGGCTCCCCAGGGACTGCAGGCCCCTGTGGACCGTCCCCCACGGCGGCCCGAGCGAGTTCTCAGAACACACGTCTGACCACATCCTCGGCCCTGCTCTGAGCTCCGCAGCCGCCACTCACCGCGTCCACCGGAGCGGCTGCAACGGCCCACACCCCTGGGGAGCTGCGTGTACCCCACAAAACCCAGGCCCAGGCCTGCCTTCGCCACACCTCCCTGTCTGCTCCTTCAGTGTCTGAGGGCCCCTCCCACTGGGCTGTGGGCCCTGTGGTGGGGAGAGGGGCACCCTCACCCCGTCCTCCGGTGGCCAGTGGGCTGGCGGCGAGATCCTGGTACCGTGAGAGGGGCAGGCCTGGGCGATGGGGAGTGAGGGGCTTGGTGGCCCATCCCTGTCCTGGGGCAGGAGGGAGGGGCCTTTCTACAGAGTGGATGGGAGGCGGCCCCTGGCTGCTGCGCAAACACTCGGGGGCCCTGGGTGTCTGGGTATGTGGCTCTCCCCCAGCCCAGGCCCAGGCGGGCACAGAGCCAGGCCCAGCAGCCCTGCCCTGCCCTCAGGAGCCCTCAGGCAGTGCCCCGGGGCCACCAGCGAGCCAGGCCTTGGCCGGGCCCCAGCATCCTTGCTGCCTTCCAGGAAAGTGGGCAGGGAGGTGGCAGTGGCTGTCCCTCCACTGGGGCTCAGGCAGGCGGCCACTCCATCGCCTGGGGCCTCCCCTGCCCCCACCCAGAGGTCCCACCAGGCTGTGCCCTAAACGCCAGACGCCCCGGGCCAGCCCCACACACTCACCTCGCTTGTGCAGCCAGCCCTCCTTGACGATCGCCACGTCGGCCATGGTGCCCCGGCGGCTCGCTCACTCCGTTCGCTCCGCTCCTCCTCCTCGAGTGGGAGGCTCTCCGCAGGCCCAGCAGTGTCCACAGCCTCTGGGGGCAGCAAAGGGGCACGTGAGGCTGTGTCCAGCTTGGGGCCCCTCCAACCCACCGGGGAGCCCACCCAGGGTCTCAGCCTGTGCACAGCCCCCAGAGCCCCTCACTTGCCCAGCGGAGCACCTGCTGGGGAGTTCTCGTTACTGGTGCTGCGCCCTGTGCCCCTCACCGCCGCAGCCACGTCCCCTGGCCTTTGGACAGGCCTCTCCCATTCCCCAAAGGCCCTCCCAGCACAGCCCAGCCCCGACCTGCTAACCAGCAAACACCACCCACTGCAGGCAGCCCTCCACCATCCCACCCCCCACCCGGTGAGGATGCCTGTTCTCCCTCTCCCTGGTGTCCCACCCACAGGCTGGGGTCCTGGGCAGGGCATAGGGCTCCGCCCCCAGCCTCCGACCAGGAAAGGAGGAAATTCAAGTGTGGAGACAGCAGGGCCAGGAGTATGAGCGGCGGGCGCCATGGTGCCCTCCAGGGTGATGTAAACCGCCCCCCTCTGAAACCCCAGGCTCCCCCTAAACCACAGCGCCCCCACCAGCCTGAATCTCGCTCATTCATTCGGCCAGGCACTTCTGGTTTTGCCCGGCGTGGTGCTGGGGACAAAGAGAGGTTCAGACAAGCCTGTCTGTGAGCAGCACCCGGTCCAGGGCCGGTTACAGTCGCATAACCACAGCATTCAGGAGGCAAGAATCAGGGGGGGCTGTGCAGACCAGACCTGGCGCCACCCCGCACTGTCCCACCGGCCGCCTCTCCCCAGCACACACTCTGGCCATTCATCATCCACGCGCCCCCTCCACCGCTGCCCTGCTGGACGAGCTCCTAGGCATCCCTCAAAACCTGGCCTGGGCATCCCAGCCTCTGTTGGCCCCCCAGACGGGCGCCCCAGAGGGCAGGCCTGGGACACTCCTCCCTGGGGTCCTGGGCCGGGCGGAGACTGCCGAGGACTTCCAGAGTGGACCCCAATGTGGCTCCTCAGCTGCCCTCTCCAGCAGGGCCTTGCAGGAGCCGGGCACCCAGCACTGCCCAAGGCTGAGCACAGGAGGGCGGGAGGCCCCACTCCCCGCCTGGACGGGGGCAGACGTGGGTGGTCCAAGGAAGTGCCCATGTGCGCAGCAGGCCCATGGGCGGTGATGGGCAGGAAGCGCGAGGACAGGGCCCGCAGCCCCACGTGCTGGGCACGGGCCATGGTGACACTTGAGTGGGCGTGGCCTGTGGGCAGCAGGCGGACTCGAGACTGGCCTCCGGTTGCCCCCCTACCCCCACCAGGGCCTGAGCAGGGCCCGCTGCTGACAGAGTTGGACAGCTGTGGAAAGCCCGTGTGTAAAAATACATCTGTGCACACCCTGGGCAGTGCGCGTGTGCACACTCAGACACAGCCAGTGCTCCCGCCTGCCTCTCCACGCAGGGCGGAGGGACGGAGGGACCCGCATCCTGCAGCCTCTGACTGAGAGCCTACACAGTCACCGTGAGCAGCCCCCACTGTTGTCATGAAACCCCAGCAGTTAAAAGCACAGTCTGTGCCCCAAAAGGGCCCCTGCCCTCCAAACGCTGGGTTGTGGACTGCACACTCAGCTGGCCGGGCAGGGAACCAAGCCCTCACTCAACCACCCGGCCTTCACTTGGGCCAGGGGCTCAGAGCCGTCAGAGGGGCCTGGAGCCAGGCAGGGCCACAGGGAGAAGGTAGGGGCCCTCTGGCCGCAAAGCACACGCCTGTGCCCCAGCTCCCGCCACCCCCACCCCAATCTGGCATCCTAGGCCCAGCCACCATCCAGGCCCCAGGCTCTGCGAGGGGCAGGCAGCTCCTCCAGAGCCCACCAAGTTCAGGGAGCAGTTTCAGGACCCGGGAGGGCGCGTCCTCCTCCGTGGATTACTGGGCACCACAAACAACTTTTTGTCTGTGGCAAGATGAGGTCTCCTTCCAAGGGCCCACCCACAAACTTGAACGAGGGCGGGGGCCAGCCTCTTCCTAAGGCCCCTGAGCGCCTCCGGTACCCCGGCCAGCTCTGGCCCGACGCCCAGAGAGCACCCGCGGGGCCCCCGCCGCAGGGGCGCCCCCCGGCCCAGCCCAGCCAGCCGCGGCCGCGCCCCTCCGCCCCAACCCGGGCCTCGCCAGCCGGAGGGCCGCTTCCCCAAGGTCAAGAGGGAGGCCCGGGCCCGCCAGCACCCCTGGCCCGCGCGGCCCCCGCCCTCCCCGCCCAGGCCGCGCTCGGCCACTTCCTGCTCCCGCGCCTCCATTCCGGCTGCGGCCCGCGCCCGGCCCCGGCGGCCGGGAACAAAGCGGCGGCGCGGGGAGGAAATCCGGGCCCCGGTGGCGGCCGCGGCGGGCGGGACTCACCGGGGGCCGCGTCCGGGCGAGCGCGGGCCTAGCCGGGCCGCGGCCTCTGGCGCCCGCCGCTCCGCATCCCCGCGGGCAGGGCCGGGGGCGGGCTGGGCGGCGCGGACCCGCGGCCGGCGCTGTCGGGCGGGCCTCGCGCCAGGCCCGGTGCTCGTGCGCGGCCGCGCTCGCGTCCTCCGGTGCCTGCTGCGCGCGCGCTGGGCCGGCCGCTGCTCCGTCCCGCCGCCGCCGGCCCGCCCCGTCCCCGCCCCGCGCGCCCCGCCCGGCCGCCCGCCCACATCCGCCTCCGCCACCCGGCGCCCCCACCCGGGCCGGGAGGGCGAGGGCCGGGGTGGGGCGGGGGGCCGCGGACCCGGCGCGCGCCAGCCCGCTGGTCCCCGGCCACACCCTCCCCGGACTCAGTTTCCCTGTTTGTCCCCAGAGCCGCACGACTCCGCCCCGCTCTGGCGCGACCGGAACAAATCCCGCCTCTGCCTCCCAGGGTTGGGGGCGGGGTGCCGCAGGCTGCAAAGTAGTTTGACACCAGAATGCGACCCAAGTGGTAACCCCCGCTGGGGGCCAGGGAGGGAGCGGCCGTGGCTGTCCAGAGAGACCCAGTCTGAGGACCCTGGGCCGCCGTGCGGTGGCAGCGACGGTCGGCCGCATTGCGAACCCGATAGGGAGGGGGTGGAGGCCCCGGTCCTAGTGCTCAAGGTCGGTCTCTGAAGCGACAGGGGTCTGAGCCCTCCGTAGCGGGGGCGCTTCCAAGAGCTCCCTCTCCCCCAGGAGGAAGATACGGCCACGTGGCGGCTACAAAAGTGGAAGGGGACTCCTTCGCAGGGTGACAGAGAAGAGGGTCCAGGAACCCGTGGAGGGGCGCCTACTTGGCCTGGGAGGCTGCGCTGAGCGGGGAACAGAGGCCTGGAGCTAGAGCCGGGTCCGGGGCTGTGACAGCTGAGGCCACCTGGGACTCGCCCTCTGCTCAAGGGGCCCTGAGCACCCACTGGGGACAGCTGAGGGACCCGAGGCAGAGGGTCCCTAACCTCCTCCTCGCACGCCTCCGGAGCACTGCAGACGTGGCCCCACCCCTGACCCCGCCGGCCCTGTCCAACCCCGAAGCCTCCAGTTTCTCCTATGGCTGCCCCTCCCCCCAGCCCCGGGGCCTCTGAGTTGATAGTAACCCTTTTGTAAAAAGAAGATGGCAGAGAATTATCTTCCTGGAGTTGGTACGTATGGGGGGGGGGGGCATTTTTATTCTTCCTGAAGGATCAGAGTTCAGCCTAGGAGGATACACAGTTCATCTGGGTCAGAGGCAGGTGCGGGCCAGCCAAGCCCTCTGTACAGCGTCCATGGAGGAAACTGAGGCTTGGTCCGCGGCTCTGCAGGGAAGGACTCTCCCCAGCTCAGGGGCGCACGCTCCTGGGGTGGGGACTCCCAATTCCAGTCTCTCCTCTGGGCCCCTCTGGCCCCACCCCACCCCAGGGCAGCTGTCCCAGCTCTGACTGTGTGTCCAGAGGTGGTACCTGCCTCTGTGGCCAACGAACAGGCTGGACCAGACACCCGACCTAAGGGTCACCCTCCAAATGTCTGACCTCTGTCCATGGCTTGCCGCCTAGATCTTCTATGTGGGTCCCTGAGGCCCCTCTGGGCACAGCCCACCAACCCACTGTTCTCCCAGGAGAGGCTTCGCACCCGTCCCTCCTCCTGGGTTCCACGGTGCTTTGGAGAAGGTGAGGGAGCGGCAGAGGAGGAGATGATGGGCTGGGGTGGCAGCCAGTGGCCAGGGGGGTGCCAGGAGGGCGCCCTCTCCTGGAAGATGCCGGGACGAACTCCCCAGGCCTCTCAGGCTTGCTAATGTTGGCGGGGAGGCTGCCCTGAGGTGGCCCCAACCTTCTGGCCCACTGGCTGCTGGCCCTTCACCAGGAGGCCTCCCTTCCTGCTGGCACCCTGCAGGTGCCAGGACCCACCGTGAGCCCCAACCCCTCCGTGGCCAGCGCCTCCGCACGAGCCTCCCCCTGATGTGGTGCCCCTGCAGGCAGGGCCAGCCCCTCTTCCACGGGCCTCCTGGGGGGAAGCAGAGCCCTCTGCCACCCAAAGACACCCCCTCCCGCCCAGCAGACGGAATGAGGAGGAGAGGGCCCAGTCTGTCGCCGGCCAGCTGGAGGCTGCTGGTGCTGCCGCTGCAGCCGCAGGGGAGCCCCTGGGCCAGATGTTTCCAGCCAAAACTGCAGCCCCTCGGGGAGCTCAGGCCCCTCCAGCCCTGTCACCTTCTGCAGCTGCCGGCCCTCAGGCAGGACTCGTGGCCCGGTGCCCCGGGGCTGCCTAGTCTCCGCAGCAGCTGCTGGGCGGGACCCCAGGGCAGCTCCCAGGCCAGCTGGCTGCCTGGCCTGCGGCACCCGGGAGGCGCCTCCCGTCATCCCAGTGCCTGAGCCCTGCCTGGGCTGTTGAGGGACCCGAGGGCTCTAGTGGTGCCCGGGACCAGAGTGCCACAGTGGAGCTGCCTGGGATGGCCCCTCCTGGGACCATGAGGACGTAACTCACAGGATGTTCCTCCACCACCAGCCGCCCCTCCCTGGGCGAGCCTGCCAGGCCCACCCCCAGCTCTTGCCGGCAGCAGCCTAGTTTGCACGGGCCCCTCTCTGGGCCCCGCAGCCTCTGTCCAGGTGCCCGAGGAACGTTCTGTCCACCAGCTGGGCAGGGTGCTCTGCCCACCCCGGGGCCCCTCTCCAGGTAGAGCCCCACACACAGGCCTGGCCTTCCCTCCCTGCCTCCTGGGGCTCAGGGCCTGGAGGCCTGTGGTGCAGCGGGAGCCACCCGCCCCCCCCCACTCAGGAGATGCACTGAGGCCCCACTTGGTGCCAGGAGCTGCGTCACACCCTGCAGACAGAGCTCCAGAGAGGGCTAAGGTCTCCGGAGGGGGACAAGGGCTTGGGGTGGCCTTTAGCTGGGTGGCCGGGAAAGACCACTGTCGGGTGCCCACTGTTACAGACAGGAATCTGGGGACCCAGGAAAAAGCCTCCTGGGAGGAGCCTGAGCAGTGAAGGAAAGGCCTACGAGGAGATTGAGGTTCAGGGAAAGTGAGGGGTCACAGCCAAGGTCGCCCGGGGCAGGGCCAGGGCCAGGGCTCCGAGAAGGCCAGACTCCGAGGGGACGGTCCTATCTGGGCTCACTCCGAGGGACCAGCATTCAGTCCCTTGCAGGGGGCTGGGCTGAGTGCTGGCCCAGCTCTGCTCAGGAAGGGTCCCCAGCTGCATGGCCAGAACCAGGGGGTCTTGCTGGCAGGTGACATGGGAGTCGGGTCCAGGCCCTGGTTGCCAGGTTTAGGCAATGAGAACGAAAGACGTCTGGGCCCATCTGAGTTTCAGACAAGGAATCGCTGTTCAGTGTGAGAATGTGCTTTGTCTTCCCACAGAGCGTAGCCCCTAACGGGGGTGGGGGTGAGGGGGGTTGGGGGGTGCTTAGGCCCCCAGCCTGTGGCGTTTGACTAGGACAGCTGCCCCCCAGGTCACAGGAATCTCTGCCTCATCTGGGGTGTCAAGGACAATGGGTGGAGGGCTCCCCACTCCTCCTGCCAGCTGGGGTCCCACCCTTTATAACTCAGCCCCTCCCCCACCCTCCCAGCCCACCCTCCATGGGGGATGTGGGAAAGTGAGGGGGTGGGGGCTGGGGATTCAGAGACTTCAGGATTCGAACTGGGTTCAGACACCTGCCCGCAACGTGGTGGTGGGCTCCTTTCCTAACATCCCCACCCAAAGGGCGCGATGACCCCAGCATGGAACTGGGGCACTGCTGGGGGGCGGTGGTCCTCGGAGCCCCGAGGCTGCCCCCTCAGAACGGCCCCTTCGATCACGCCCTCCTAAACATTCCGCTGCCCACCGTGGGGACCCCTCCCCCAAATCAGCTCTGTCTCTCCGGGCCCCTCCCCCAGCAGGACCAGCCTCCTCTCCTTTCGCCGGTGCCCGCGAAACCCCTGCACCCACACCACTGGCCGCCCACGTGCACGATTTCCCACCTGCTCTGGGCTCTGGGGGCGTTTGTCCCCCCACCCTGCCATGTCTGCTGGACCTGCCCCAGCCTCACACACAACTCTGCAAGCGCAGAGCTGGCCCCGCCCCGCCCCCCGCGCCGAGGGCGGCAGTCCCTGCCCGGTTCTGGACTCCAAAGTCGAGGCTCCACGTGCGTGTTTGTAAGAGGGTCCCAGCAAAATTAACTGTGAACAGTGGCGTTCAGCGAAAAGGGAGTGTCGTCTTTTCCAATTTTATGATCCCCCCCCACAGCAACCCCCTCCGTCCCAGAGCCGGCTCCCCGAGAGGTGGCGGGAAGCCAGGGTCCCCACTGCGCCCGCGGGGGACTGCGGCAGCGCGGGCCGGGAGGCGAGCGGTCCCCGGAAGGGGTCCCTCAGCAGACGGGCGCCGTGGGAGCCCCGTGGGGGGGGCCGCCGAGGCGGAGGCGGCAAGTATCGCGAGAGAGCCCCCTCCCACCGCGGCGCCCCAGCAGGCGGCACGCGGGGCCCAGCCGGGCGGGGCGGACGGGGAAGGGGTGGCGAGCGTGACCTCAGCGGTTCCGCCGCTCCGGGAAGTCGGCTGGGCCCGCCCCCTCCGGCCCCCGCCCCGAGTTTCGCTCCCTCCGGGGCGGGGCCAGCGGCAGGCGGCGCCGGGCCGGCCAAGTTGGAGGGCGCCCCGCCCGGCGCCCCGCCGTCCTCGCGCCCTCCCCGCCGGGGCGCGCTGCCCGCAGCTCCGCGCGTCGGGGCCGCACCGGGGAGGGCGCGCGGCGCGGGCGGCGGCCGGAGAGCAGCTGGGGCGGCGGAGGTGAGCGCGGGGGGCGGGGGCCCGGCTCTGCCCGCCCCGCCCGCCGGCCCGCTCCCCGCGGCCGCGCTGCCATAAATGGGTCCCGCGGCGGCGGCGGCGGCGGCATCTGGCGGGCCGGGCGGCAGCTGGAGGCGCGGACCGAGGGCGGCGACTCGGGCGTCGGGGGACGCGGCGGGCGGCCACCGCAAAGCGAAATTCGGGGGCTCGGGAGCCGACGGGGGCGCCCGGCGGGGACGCGCGCAGGTCCGCGCGGCTCGTGCCCCCTCCGCCGGCGCCCCGAGACCCGCCCCCGCGGCGGAGCGGCTTCTGTTTACTTTCGGTCGAGTTTTCTTGTTCCGGGCAGGTGCCCAGGGCGGCTCCGGGTGGGCGATCACACGCGACACCCCGCGCCCCTCTGCCCGCACCCGCGACGGGCGCGTCGGGCCTCCGGGGCAGCGGCGGCCGGGGCGTCCGTTTGTGCCCAGGGGATGACGGCGGCGGCATGGAGTTCCCGGAGCACGGCGTGCGGCTGCTGCGCCGCCTGAGGCAGCAGCGCGAGCTCGGCTTCCTGTGCGACTGCACCGTGCTGGTGGGCGACGCGCGCTTCCAGGCCCACCGCGCCGTGCTGGCCGCGTGCAGCGCCTACTTCCATCTTTTCTACAGGGACCGGCCTGCGGGCAGCCGCGACGCGGTGCGGCTCAACGGCGACGTCGTCACGGCGCCCGCTTTCGGCCGCCTGCTGGACTTCATGTACGAGGGCCGCCTGGACCTGCGCGGCCTGCCGGTCGAGGACGTCCTGGCCGCCGCCAGCTACCTGCACATGTACGACATCGTCAAGGTCTGCAAGGGCCAGCTCCGGGGGGAGGGCCGCGCGCCGCCTCCCGAAACGCCCGCCGCTGGCGCCAAGCCGCCGAGTCAGCGCCCCTGCCCCCTGCCCGCCTGGGCCCCCGAGCTCTGCCCGGCCGCCCAGAAGGTCAGGCTGCCCGGGGCCGGGGTCAAGGCTGCCCTCCCTCCAGGAGCACGGGGGCCTCCCCCCTGCCAGGCCCCAGGAGAGCCGGACGGGGCTCTGGACTTGTCGCTGAAGCCTGAGCGGAGGAGGGAGCCAGTCCACCCGCCTCCCTGCGGCCTTCGGACACCGCCGTGCAGGCAGATGCAGCCCGGGGTGCGGCCGCTAGTGAAGGGCGAGCGGGACTCACTGTCGGAACAGGACAGCCTGGACCCTCTGAGCCCCCACAGCCCCCTGCAGCCACCCCGCGCTCCGGCGGTGCCGCGCCCGGCCGGGGACTTGGAGCCGCTGCCCGCCGGTGGGGTGGGCAGCCGGGAGCTGGCGTTGGATGCAGCGCGGGGCGCCGTCGCGGACGAGCTGGCGCTCGGCGGCCGCCGCCGCCTCCGCCTGTGCCCGCTGTGCAGCAAGCTGTTCCCCAGCGCCCGCGTGTTGCAGCTGCACCTCAGCGCCCACTTTCGAGAGCGCGACGGGGCCCGGGCCCGGCTGTCGCCCGACGGCGCCGCGCCCACCTGCCCGCTCTGCGGGAAGACCTTCTCCTGCGCATACACGCTGAAGCGGCACGAGCGCACGCACTCGGGCGAGAAGCCCTACACGTGCGTGCAGTGCGGCAAGAGCTTCCAGTATTCGCACAACCTGAGCCGCCACGCCGTGGTGCACACCCGCGAGAAGCCGCACGCCTGCCGCTGGTGCGAGCGCCGCTTCACACAGTCCGGGGACCTCTACCGCCACGTCCGCAAGTTCCACTGCGGCCTGGTGTGACGCGTGCGCCGCGCGGGGTGGCGGTGGGAGGGACCCAGAGCCGGCCGGGAGGGGGTCCCTGAGGCTGGACCCGCCTGGCAGGAAGAGCCCCGCTGCCCCCCAGGAAGGTGGCCTCGGACTCAAAGGGACTCTGCAGCCCTCCTCCCTGCCCTGCCCCCCAACCCTACCTTGTGCCCTGACTGAGTCTGTCTTCCTCTTCAGGCGGTTCTGGGTTTGTCTCAAGGTCCCCGGAGCTTGGCTCACTCGCCTCAGTGTGGGACAGCCTATCCTACCCTGGGGGCTTCCCCGGCCACCTCACTGGCATGTTCAGGGGACCTCACTGGCCTCGCTGCACCCGGTGAAGGGTGCAGGTCACAGAAGTTGGGGCAGGAGCCCGGGCTCAGCAGGGGCCATCAGGGCAGAGATGGTGCCACGGGGCACAGGGCCCATGGGAATGTCTGGGCAGAACCGTCCAGAAGCTAGTGGGTGGCTGTGGAGTCCCTGGCACGGTGGCGGCAGGTGGCCCGTGGTCCTGGCTGCATTGTAATGCAGTCAGAAGGTCACAGTTTGGGAACAGTTTTCTGGTTGCCGAGCCTCCCAGGGCGGCCAGATGGCGGCCGATGGCGGCGGACCCGTGGGCAATGGGCCGTGCCGCTTCCCTGCCTGGGCGCAGCGTCCAGGCGCCTCTGAGCTTCCTCAGGGTGGCCACTGCTGGGCCTCAGCAGGACTGGCCCTGCAGGTCACTGGTCCGTGCCCAGGGCTGCTGCTCGCTCCCAAAGCAGGGGCCGGGGCTGCCCTCCGACCAGGCCCAGGGCTCAGAGGGGCTTCCCTTCCCCGCAGCAGGGTGTGCCCGAGGCCCACTGTGGTGGCACAGGGTGGAGCAGAGGAGGGCGGCTGGCTCAAGCAAGGGCCCAGCCCCCACTGCTATGCACAGCCCTGGGTGGCTGAAGCTGCTGGGACATGGCGGGCACTGTACTGGCGTCTTGCTGGGGCCGCCCTGCCCTGCCTGCCAGCCTGCCAGCCTGCTGAGCAGCCTTGCTGCTAGAACCTCCGGTAGTGGCAGGGGTGGCAGCCCCGGTTGTGGGACTCCTGCAGGTGGTAGGGCCCGGGTGCCCCTGGTACCCCTACCCCCAGGGGCCGTTTCTGCTGTGACCAGACTCGGGGCAAGGACAGAGTCCGGCCCGGTTTACATTGTCTTCCCTTGTCCTGACGGTACTTGATGTTGTATTTATTTGTCTCCCTGGTGTGGAGTGGAGGGCCTTCCCGGCAGGCAGACAGACCGGCTCAGGATCCCGGAGGTGCTCTGCCCCTGCGTGTGGCTGCCCCTCCTGAGGCCCAGGGCTCGGAGGCCCGGACCGCCCTCCAGCAGGGGGCTGGATGAAGGGGCCCCTGCCTCTGACGGTGCTGCCCCCAGCTCCCCGCCTCCGGGGGCCAGTGGAAGGGCGCCCCCAGCAGGACGTGCTGCCTGACCAGGCCGCTGTGCGTGTGCGCGTGGCAGGGCCTGGTTTTCCCAGGGGTTTCCACGGGGCAGAAATGGACTTTCCTGGGGCGGGAAGTCGGCCCCAGGCGACCGACACTGGGGGCATTGTCTTCTGTGAGCGGTCACTGTGGTGTTAAGGTGTCACCGTGAGACAGTTCTTTAGTCTGATGATATACACAGTCCAGGTGACATGTGTACGTGTACGTGAGGTGCCGAGTGGGAGCACGCGGCAAAGGTGTGTGTGCGAGCGAGATCCGGGTGGAACTTGCGTGTGGGGGCCTCGGCCCAGCCTCCTGCCTCCCCTCTGCCCTCCTGCTTGGGGCAGGGGACTTCGGCTCCGGGTGACCCAGGGGACAGTCCTTCAAGCTGATGGTTTGGCCGGAGGTTTTGTCTGCACACACCCCTGTGTCTGTGGTGACAGCGGTTAATAAAGCCCCAGGTGGAGGTGCCGGATGATTCCTGGGGCCCAGAGTGTGTGTGTCTCCAAGTGTGCTGGGGGGGCTGAGCTGTCCCGGGTGCCACCCCCCGCCGCCCCCCACCGGGAGTGGGCTGGGGCAGTCTGCTGGCGTGCCCCCTTTCGCCAGGTTGTCCCACCCACCCTGAGTTCTCCCAGGGAGGCAGGTCAGTGCCAGTCCAGAGGCCTGGTGGCTCCTGGCCCTGAGGTTGGGGGGGGGGGTTTGCTGAGGAGCCACAGGCCCTGGGGCACCTTCCGAAAACCACCCCAACTGCCATGCCCGTCTGCCCGCACGCCCACACCCACCCTGTGCCACCATCCTTCTGTACCTCACGTGCCCCCTGGCTCCCTCAGGGTGGGACTGGACTGGGGCCCCCATGGCCTGGGTTTGGGGAGAGGTGGGCAAGGCGTGGAGAGCACCGTGCCTGCTGCCCTGCCCCCTCCACCGCGGGCCTGCCTCATCCCGGGGAGGCCTGAGCGAGGCAGAGGGGCACCTGGCCTCCTGTGTGTGCAAAGCCCAGCCCTGACCACAGTGACCTCTAGTGGGGGACTTAAAGGCAGGGTTGGGGGGCTCGTGCTTGCCTAGGGGTCTTCACAGGTCATCAAGCTGAGCTGGCACCAAAGGGCTATTGGTTCTTGGACCGACCTCTGAGGTGCCCCCAGTCCTGACCCCGAAGGCAGCCCTTGCTTCTGGAGGTCGGGCCTGCACTCCCAGCCTGCCCCGCACAGAGCCCCCGTCAGGCTCCCAGTTGGGCCCTGACTCAGCCCCGCCTTCTCCGAACTGGGAGGAGGCTGTCGTCAAGCCAGCCAGCGGGGACGAGGGCGGTGGAGAAGCTCCTTGAGGGGAGGGGGCCCAGGGGCCTGGCCCTGCGGCACTGACACTCAGCAGCTGCCGGAGCCCCATTCCCGGGCCGGGTGACCCTCTGGGCATCTTCCCTGGACGCTGCCCATGTGACCTGTGTGGCCTGGTAAACTGAGGCAGGGAGGGCCTGGCTCCAGTCCACAGTCCCCAAGCCAGCAGGTGGCAAACCCAGGGCTCCTTCCCCCCAACGTCAGGCATTCTGGCCGCTGCCTGGCTGAGCTGGCACCCCTGTCATAGCCAGCCCTCCCGGAGCAGTGTCACTGTGGGGCAGCTCGAAAGACCCCACAGGGAAGGCAGGGTGGGAGAAGAGGGGTCCCAAAGCCACCCCCACTCAGGGTGGGCTCTCGGGAGCCTCTGGGGAGGTGACAGAGCGGGGGCAGTGCAGGCTGAGGGCCAGCCACCATAAAGGTGACAGGCAGACAGGTGAGGGGCCAGAGTGAGCTGGGAGGCATGGTGAAGTGACAGTGGAGAAGCCTGGGGACAGCACTGGCAGCAAGTGCTGCCTGCCGAGCGGCCGAGCGGCCGGCTGGGGTCAGCGGCAGCTCCGACGAGGCCACCGGGTTGTCGGTGTGTCACAGGGAGGCCAGTGTCGGGGAGTCCAGAGAAATCTGGGGGCCAGGGGCGCTGAGGGAGCCAGGACCCACCTCCCCAGGCCAGACCCTGCCCTGGCCTTCAGCAGACCTCGCGGCTCTTGACTCAGGTCCCGGACCCAGTTCCGCTGGGTGGGGGGGACCCACACACCTAACAGCAATTCTCTAGCACCAGCAGGTGGCCCCAGGGACAGCACCAGGTCCCACAGGGCAAGGGGTCCATCCCAAAGGGTGGTCTGGCCCCCTGGTTCCCCACTGTGGACACCAGTCACACATTCAGGGGGGTCACCTGTGCTTCTTACCAGGTAGCAGGTGGCAGTGGGAGGGTCCCATAACCCCTCTTTGGGTTTGATCGGTTTGCTAGAGCAGCTCACCGGACTCCAGAACAGTGTCCTGCCAGGTCACAGGGCTGTCACCAAAGGTCATAACCGAGGGACAGCCAGGGGCTGAGGTGGCTGGGGCAGGTGCGGGAAAGCACCCGGAGCCTCCGCACCTACTCCAGGGGCTGCTCCCCGGGCCGCCAGGTGTCCCGCAGCCTGAAGCTCTCCGAATCCCCTCCCTTTGGCTTTTTTTAAAAGGATTTTATTTATTTTTAGAGGTGACGGGAGGGAGAAAGAGAGGGAGAGAAACATCAATGTGTGGCGGCCTCTCACACGCCCCCTACTGGGCACCTGGCCCACAACCCAGGCCTGTGCCCTGACCTGGAATAGAACTGGTGGACTTTTGGCTCATAGGCGGCACTCAGTCCACTGAGCCACCGCAGCCAGGGCTCCTTTTGGGTTTTTATGGAGCTTTCACCACACTGCACCCTCGAGGAACTCACTGGCAACTGATTCAAGCCCAGCCCCTCTCCCCCTCCCTGGAGGCGGGGGGAGGGGACAAAGTTCCTGCCCTGTAATCAGGGGGCTGCCAGCCCTTCCTCCGTGACCTGGGTCTTTGCAGGTCACTCACCCACATAACAGAAGACACCTTTGTCACTCACTCTCCACGTGAGACCCCAGGGGCGCCCCCAAGCGGCACGTGGGGGCGAGGACCGCACATGCGCACTCCGCACTAGAAGCCACTGCCTCGCCCGTCCGCGCGGTAGGGAATTGTGCGCGTCTGTGGGGGCCCGGCCTGCGGGGCCGACGCTGGGCACTGTCCCCATCCCGGAGGAGCCCAAGGCCTGGGTTGGGTGTCGCAGGGCTGGTCCTCCGAGGCCTCCCGCCTGGGCACGTGGATGGCCACTCCGGGTCCTCACATGGGCGCCCCTCCATTTTGACAGTGTCCTGCTGTGTTCCCAGAAGGTCACCAGCCAGACTGAATCAAAGGGACCTCATTTTAACGTGACGACTTCTGTAGAGACCGTTTCCAATGGAGTTGTATTCAGGGTTGCGGGACGTTAGGGCCTCAGCAGAGCAGTTTGGGGGGGACGCTTGGGGTTCCAGGAGAGCAGGGAGGCGGCAGGGCCAGACCCCAGCCTGGCTCTGCCCACACCTGGGCCGGCCTGTGGCTCTGGTCGGTAAGGTTTGTGGACATTTCCGTCTTCACCCTGTGTGTGCTGGGCAGCCCATGGGCAGCTGGGCACAGCTGACGGTCGCCAGGCCACCCGGCGTTGAGAGACGCAGCTTCTTGGGGGGGTCTCTCCTCCTCAAGAGCCCCCAACCCCTGCTCCCTTCTGCCCACGCCTTCCACGATGGCCCGCCATCCCCTGGACCTCACCTGGCCATCCCTCCCCAACTGCCTCCCTGCACAGACCCTGTCCAGCTCGCTCTCATCCTCCACCAACTGGGGCCAGGAAGGGAGGCGGGGACACCTCTGCCCGGCCTTCTGGCAAAACCCCAGCTCTCTGAGGCTCCTGCGGGTTGGGCAGGCAGACCCTCCTCACTGCCCCAACCCCCCCCCCGCCCTCCCGAGGTTCCAGACTCCGCCTCTGTCATCCCCCTCCAGTCCTCGAGGCCAAGGCCTGGATGCCCACATCTGCGGGGAGACGACCACCCCACCCCAGGGCTCCCATCTCTGCCCTCTTTTTCTGTCAAACTGCTGGGAGAACCCGATGGGAAGGAGGCTGACCACCCCCTCGCTGTGCTTTCTGTGGACAGTAAGCAGGGCGAGGCGGCTCCAGGCCGGTGCAGGTCCGCCCAGCCTCACACAGGTCGCTCGGTCCCACCCCATGGGCGTCAGTCAGAAATTGTGGACAAAAATGTTCACATTTGAAACTCACCGGAGAGTCTGTGAAAGGCAAAGCCCAGACGGGAACCTGCCCCCAAGAGTTGTGTGTGTGTGTGTGGCTGTGGCTGTGGCTGTGACAGACGCCTCACAAAGACAGTGACGCCACAGACACAGGGAAAGAGCTCAGCACCAGTCGTCCCCAGCGGGCGCAAGTGACAGCCACCATGGGGTCCCTTCACACGCCACTCTGAAGGCCCAGGCGTGGCAGCATGAAGCCGTGCTGGGGACATGGAGAGCAGGAAGGTGGCCCTCTGCATTGGAGGGGCTGCCAGCTTCTCACCAAGTTCGTCATACGCCTGTCGTTGGACCCAATGGCGGCACTACGAGGTGTGACTAGTAGAAGGGGAATGTGTCTGCAAAGGGGCCGCGTGCCCACGGTCAGAGCTTCCTCCCTGTCCCCAGACAACTGGGGGCAGCCCGGCACGGCAGTCAGAGAACGAATGGACGGACGAGTCTGCAGCACAGCCACCTGTCACAGGCAAGGGAGGCAGCGATGGCGCGGATGTCCCCGCTGGGAGGGCAAGAAGGGGACAGGCCCCTGGGCGCTCTGAAGCCCATGGCGGCTGCTGGTGGGAGGCCAGGCCGGCCCGGCTTCAGGCCGAGACTGGGGGCTGACTGGGCAGACTCGGGAACATTTTTGGAGAAGAGGCCGCCCCGAGGGTTTTGTGCAGGGCTGGGCTCCTGGGAGAATGCCACCTGTCCGACTTCACAGGTAAGACTTGGGGGCTCCCACACGTGTCCGAAGAAGGTGGACAGAAACAGATGAGCGTCCAATGCTGCCAGGTGACGGCCAGCGGGTGGCTCCGGACACAGTGATGGCACCAGCAGCATGGGGGGCAGCAACACGTCTGTCACTCGGCACCACAGGCTCTAGCTGGCCCACGCCTGCCCCGAAGGGTGGTCTCACGGCTTCTGTTCAGGGCACAGCCACTGGGGCCGCCCCCTGGGACGGCTGGCCTGTGCGCACAGCCCCGTCTGAGGCTGCAGGTTGCAGAACCGCTGAGTGCAGGGAGGCGCTGGGGAAGGCCCAGTGCCCCTCGCAGGGACCGGGCACGCCAGGGTCCAAGGTGGACTGGGACACCACACAGCCATGGGGCCGAGGCGCCCTGTTGGCCTGGGCGGTGTGAGGCCTCCGCGTTGTGACAGGAAAGGGACAAGGTGTGGACAAGTGTGAGGGCGCTCCCTTTGGGGAAAAGGAGGGGAGACGGCATGGTGTATCACATTCCTGGAAGGATCTCGGGAATGTGGTCGGTTGTGGGCAGGGGACTCAGTGCCTGCCCCGCGTGGGGGGAAGACCCTTTTTATTTCAAGGCATGTTACAGATCGTTAATCACCAACC